CCAGCTATACTGCATAGGACTTTTCTGCAGTGCATAAACTGATAAAATGTATTGTTTCTTCTGATTGTTAAACTCAATGTCATGAAGTGTGGGGCTAAATTTTTACATTAAATGTAAATGAAAACATTTTTATTTCTTGCTAATTTTACACTGTGATGATAGGTTTATCGGGCATCGATCAGCAATTATAAAAGCCCCCCCAACCTCAGCATCCAAAACTGCAGACGTAATGTTGTACCTTATCTTGTTGCAATTGGTATATATTTTCAGTTGTTCACCATCCACAATGCAACAATATCAAGATTTAACATTAAAACCTTTCAAATTTTTCAATGCACTATATATTTTGGCCTAATCAGCCATCATCAGATGTGTTGAAATTGGTGGGAAATGTTGTGCCTTCTGTTCTACTGTGATGGGTGTTTCTGTTTTACAATGTTTCTAAATGAAGTCAATGTAGTTCCTCCTTCTGTGCCACATGCACTGTCTCTGTAATAGGTAATGATAAATTGTGTTAGTACTTTCTCTTCATGCAATATATTTAAGTTGTATACTGTTAATGCAGTTAACTGTGTACTTACTTTTCAGTATGCCTGTTGCCTATCTAGTGTGCAGTGTGATGTTATGATTGTACTGTGGAGATGGTTCTGTTCTATATATGTGACTGGGGTGTGTGTGCTATATGCTCTAGTGTTTCAAGTACTGGGTTATAAGTATTGATGTGTCATTCATGTGTAATCTGCCTTTACTAATTTTATATATCGTCATGTGAGAGTGACTATAGATGGGGTTTGGATTGATAATGGGTTTAATTGAACACTTACAGATCCTGGCTGGCAGCCAATTCACACCAACCTTGTCAGTAGGTCGGTTAAAACAGAACAAGATGAGTTCCTGGTACAGCGCAGGCATCATTAATATACAGACTGTATAATACTGAAGCAAGGCTGGAACCTTCAGGAACCCCTGATACTATTTTTCTTGGCATAGACAATTTGCTTTTTACCAAGTCTTCAAATTTTCCATCAGTGAGAAAAGCAGTTAGTTTAATGAGACTTGTTGAAAATTCTAATTCTGACAATTTATATAGTAGGGCAGAGTGACACATTGTGTTGAAGACTTTCTTGATATCCAAGAACACAGAAGCTGTCGACATATTACTACTGAAATTTAAAATGATGTGATCTGCCAGTCTCATACATTAAAAAGTGTCATACTGTGATGTGCTCAAAAGTCAAACAGGCTTGTATTTAGCAAGATTCTTTCCTCAGTGTGTTTTTGGATTGTTCTTAAAATCAGTTTCTCATATAGTTTGCCTCTAATGGACAAGATGCTGATCAGAGGAAAATCTGGGGAAATTCTGGGTCTTTGCTGGGTTTCAGCAGTTATGTGCTTGCCTTCTTTTAAGGTGCCGGGAAGTGACCAATCAAAATGACCATATTTTGAAAGACAGGGGCCATCATTCAAGTGTACTCAATGTTTAATCATTCAGAGTAACAGATTGAGATACCGACCAATATATGGTGGTGGAAAAAAGTTAGGGAGAGACTGGGAGTGAGTAAACACACAATGCAGATTTCATTCTCAAGAAACTAAATGAGACAGAGGGTAAAGAGCAGTATCATCTTGAAATCTCAAATAGTTTTGCAGCTTTCAAAAACTTGGATACCTAGGTGGATATTAACAGAGCTTGGGAAACCATTAGAGAGAACATAAACATTTCAGCCATAGTGAGTATACGTTATTATGAACTGAAGAAGCATAAGCCATGGTTCAATGAAGGTATTCAAAATTATTAGGTCAAAGTATACAAGCCAAACTGCAGTGGTTACAGGATCCAAGCAAAATAAATGGGGATAATCTGAACAATATAAGACGTGAAACCAGTAGGTATTTCAGGGGGGGAAAAAGAAAGAGGGGGGGGGGATATCTGAAAGACAAAATCAATGAACTTGCAATGAACAGCAAGAACAAGAACATCACAGACCCGAACAGAGTTGACCAACGAATTTAAGATGGGTTACCAACCTAGAAGTAACTACGTGAACGATGAGAATGGTGATCTGCTTGCAAATTCCCAAAATATGTTGAACAGGGGAAGAACTACTCCTCTCAGTTATTGAATGTATGAGGTCAGTGATGTTGCACTGATAGAAATACATATACCTGAGCCCTTAGTACCTGATCCCAGTTCTTTTGAGGTTGAGAAGGAATAAATTGCCTGGTAGTGACCAAATTCCAGCAGAACTGATTCAAGCAAGGTGAAACATTATGGTCTGAGATCAGTAAACTCATTAATTCTACTTGGAATAAGGAAGAATTGCCTGATCAGTGGAAGGAGTCTATTATTGTACCAATTCACAAGAATGGCAATAAAACTGACTAGTAATTATCGTGGGATATCACTTCTATCAACTTCATACAACATTTTTTCCAATATCCTTCTCTCAAGGTTAAGTCTGTATAGAAAGGAAACTACTGAGGATCATCTGTGAGGGTTTCGACATATTATACCAACTACCGATCAGATTTTTTGCGTTCGGCAGATACTGGAGAAGTCTGTACAGGTATATATTTGTGTGATAATTTTTGTATCCAAAATGGTCTAAAACAAGATGCTATATCACTACTGGTTTTAAAATTTTCTTCATCATATACCATTAGGAAGGTCTAGGAAAACCAGGTGGGAGTGAAATTAAACGGGACACATCAGCTGCTGGTCCATGCTGATAATGTGAATCTACTGGGAGAGAACACAGATACCATAGAGAAAAAAACAGAAACACTAACTGATGCTAGTAAGGAGATTGGTCTAGAAGTAAGTGATGAGAAAACTAAGTATATGTTGCTGTCTGGTCACCAGAATGTGGGGTAAAATTATGACATAAAAACAGCTAACAGATCCTTTGAAATTGTGACAAAGTTAAAATATCTGAGAAGGACAGTAAGAAATTAAAATTTGATTCAGGAAGATATTAGGAGATTTAATTTGGGGAAAGCTTGCTACCATTCAGTGCACAACCTTTTGTCTTCTCTTCTGCCGTCTAAAAATGTAAATGTAAGAATATTCAAAAGCTTGCTACCATTCAGTGCACAACCTTTTGTCTTCTCTTCTGCCGTCTAAAAATGTAAATGTAAGAATATACAAAAATATAATTTTTCCCATGGTTCTGTATGGGTGTGAAACCTGGTCTCTGACATTATGGGAGAAACAAAGACTGAGGGTATTTCAGAACAGGATGCTGGGGACATTGGAGAAAACTGCATAATGAGGAGTTTCATAGCTTTTACTCTTCGCAGCCAAGTAAAATTATAATGACAAAGTCAAGTAGGATGTAGTATGTATACATGTAGTATGTATGGAGAGACGAGGAATGCATATAAGATACTGATGGGAAATCCAGATGAAAAGAGACCACTACAGACATCAAGATGTAGGTGGATAGATAATATTATAATGGATCTTAAAAAGATATGATGGGGTACTATGGATTGGATTGATCTGGTTCAGGATAGGGACCAGTGGAGGGCTCTTGTGAACATGGTAATGAACCTTCAAGTTGCATAAAATACTGGGAAGGTCTTGCATAGCTGCACAACTGGCAGCTTCTCAGGAAAGGCTCAGCTCCATTAAGTTAGTTAGTTATGGGAAACCATACACAAATCCTCCACAATTCTGTAAAAGAAGAGTATTCTACTTATTATCATCATCTTTATTATTACTGTTGTCAATTTCATAATCATAATTAATATCTGATTCAGTTGTCGGTCTGAACATAACATGCCATGAGATTAAACACTCTTTGGAACAACATTTAGAATTATGTAGGATTTGAGGTTTTCAGAGCAGTGGGTACGAATAGTACATACTATGTTCTGGGATATACCACCATGTGGTCCACTGAAAGTCAACCGACACTTCAGAGGAACATATTGCCTCCATCTTCAGGAATGAAGAGTAAACCTAGCAAGCTTTTCACTGTCTTTTATGCTGATTTCTTACTTGGCCTATTCTTTGCAACTGAGGATAGAAGCAATACTTTCAACCAAAACGTCAGTTGACTTTCAACGGACTGCACGGTGTTATATTGCAGAACAAAGTACTCTTCAATTAAAATTTTGGGTCAGTTCATGTTAAATCAACATAGCAACTGATATTGGCATGGTAAAAGGTAAAGTTGTCCCTGTGCTTAACTAATTAAGCACTACACCATGAAGGCATATGGGGGAGTGGATCCACATGATATTAGAATGGATTTTAATGAAAATTTGTTGGCCTGCAGAGTCTGGAGAAAAGGTGATAAATATGATTTCTACCTACCCATGCCAATTAACTGCAAAGTTCATGCAAGTTCTAAGCTTTCCTTAACATTTCCCACACTCTGATTCAGTAAAATGCTAATTCAGAGAACCGCGTTCTTGTACTAATTGTGAGTTGTTACGTTGTTTTCGTCTGATATGTAACTCACAGCATTTTGAAGCACTTGAGATTTTCTCCATTCACGTTGGAGATGTTCACTTCAAACCTAACTCCATCACGCGACCCACACGTTGTTCAACGGGTATCAAACAGTTTAGCTTCCAGTTCTGACTTTCCAGCATTGCTCTTCTTCTTGAATACTGTTTTACACGTAGAGTAACGTCATGCCTTTAACACCGGTTACTACGACCTCAGTATTAACGTAATTACATTTTAAAAACATTTCTAAATGTTTACACAAGCAAATCTTATTTCAAATTCTTGCAACAGACCATGGTTCATGAACTAAATCGGTAATTTTAAATAGACGCACATCACTTTCAGTGACATAATAATACTCTACATCCTTCTTTTTTCCAATGTCTGCTGCTCTCTCTCTCTCATCTTAGTTTTTTCTCGGAATTCCCTCCATTATTCCAGATTTGGTTTGAGTTATTAAAATTTCCCCCCAAGGGGGAAAATTATAGGCATGCGACATGATTGCCAATGGAAAGCGCTTTCAATGCCCGATTGTGGCGTAGCGTAACGTTCCTTCTAGCAATTAGATAGCGTAGGTAGCCATTTCAGTATTTTTATGCGTTTTGGAAGGCATAATTTAATATCCACTAAAATAAAAGGAGTTCGTATATCTAATTAGGTAAAATAGTTTCTAAACATTAGAATTATTTATCCTAGTAGTCTGAAATGGAAGAGGAAATTATTATGGTCCCTGAGGACGGGTTTAGTTCTGCAGGTAAGTTGTGGTAACAAGTAACGTAGCGTGTTCTGGATCGGTTTTTGGCTATGCGCCGCTAAGTTTACATTCCCTACAGCTGGGGAGCGGTAATCTGTTTAATGTTGAAGTGCTTTCTCCGAGGGAAATATAAATGATTTCCAGATGTTCACTAAACTCTTGCAGCGAATTATTATGGAAAGGGTATAACTGCAGTTCCTTTAATCTGTGTGTTACAAATTGTAAGGGTGTAATGTAAATAAAAGTGTTTTTCTCCCGACAGAGAAGTTCGTATGGAGCAGACCAATGGTACTTACATTGATAGAAGAGTATAAGAAAGTCGAACATGAATTCAAGGATTCAAACATTAAAAAGAAGCATATTTGGCGTAAGATAGCTCAACACCTTGCAGAGAGGGGTTACCACAATGTGAATGAAGATATGTGTGATAAAAAATGGCGTAACCTTAAGAAAACGTTTAAAGAAATTTATGTTGGACAAAGAGGGTCTCCTTTGAGAACTAAATGGGGATTTTACAACGCAGTAGAAGAAATATTCAGTAAAGATCCAAATATTGTAAGTGCTGCATCAGTTTCAGTTTCAACAAAGCCGTTTTTAACCACAAAGAAAATTCCAGGTCCTGATGGACAGGAAATGCAAGTTGAAATAATGGAAGTTGTTGGGAATTTGCATGATGAATATCTGGAAGATGGAGAAGCGGTAATTGCTGAAAATTCTGAAGATCGTGCCTATGGACCTTTCGATTCTTCAGTTCAGCAACCTCCTGCGTGGTTCACAGAATTTCTACAGCAGTACCATAATGATGAAGAGAGGAGAATAGAAATGCTAAATAAAATGCATGCTGATATAATTGCTTTGGAGGAAAAGAAGTGTGCACTATTAGCAACATTAATTGAGAAGCTGGGAGGCCCTGCTAAGGTACAAGAGAATGAGAAATGTGTATCATCTGAATTTCAGGAGCTAGAGCAAAATCCAGAGTGTGAAATAGCAGAAAATTGTAAGAATTAAGGTTGGGGAATATGTAAATTTGAATGAAGGCACAGATATTACTGCAACTTTCTGCATTAAGTCTTAAGTCTGTTTAATATATGTTAGCTATGATGTAATTGACACACACTACAGCACACAACAGTTTATTCCTGAACCTATAATTGCAAGATGCAATGTTGGTCAAATTTATGTTTGCATTTTATGGCTGTTACTGTGTAGAGTTACAGGAAGTTATTATTTTTACTGTTCACTCTTAATCTTTCAGAAAAGTAAGTTCCTAGCCTAATTATAGAAAACTATAATAGCCAGGATAGTGTAGTCATTATAGCAACTGGCTACAGGCTGGACAACCAAAGGGTTGGCGTTCAAGTCTCAGTAGGGACAAGAATTTTCTTTTCTCCATTTAATCCAGACTGGCTCTGGGGTCCACCCAACCTCCTATCCGATGGGTACCAGAGGCTTTTTTCCCAGGGCTAAAGTGGCCAGGGCATGAAGCTACCAGTTACTTCCATCTAGTGTTGAGGTCAAGAAAATGTGGCTCTGTACATCCGTTCCCCCATACACCTTAATAGCATAGTGCTTAATTAGTTAAGCACATGGACAAATTTACCTCTAATAATTTGGTCATTTTCTTTGAGAATATGCCCATAAAAGTAGTGAACAAGTTAACAGTCCTGATATCTTAATGCTTACATGAGATGTGTATGTTTGTGATTTCGGGAAGAAAATTAATATTGCTGTTCAAGTTTCTATGGTGGGATTTTATGTATTCTTTAGGGAACAGGAATAAGGAATCAGAGTAGAAGACATTCTTCGTGGAGGTAGCTGGCAACTGCTTAAGAGGTTCTGAAATGAGCTTTGGCCTGAACTCATCTCCTAATACAGTTGAGTAATGAAACAAGAAAATATATGGGTCGAACATCTACTATAGAAAGGAAAGTGAGAAATTCATAACAAAATCTGGTTAGTAAACTTCTGCTGAATGAAATCATTCCATTAGCATGACCTTGGCTGACCAGAGCTTTGCACTATGATCATGCAGTAGGTTTTTGGAAGAGCTGATTTGCTGTTATCAAGAGTATGGAAAATGTAACTTGTCATTCATTAGAAAATATATATCCAGAGGTGTTCATGGAGAAGTTTCTTAGCAGTTTATTTTATGACACTGAACTCCTGAGGGTACTAAGTAAATTGACTTAAGCAGTAATGCTTGTGACATATTCAGGAAGGGACCACTTCAGACTTGGAATGGGACAACAGCTACACACTGAGGCTGTGTGTTGCTTTCTTAGTCTCCGCAGGTAAATGCTGCAATAATACTTTAAATTAGGCCAGGACCACTTGCTGTCAGATCAGTTGGCACTGTAGTGTCCGAGCTGCTGAGAGAGTCACCAAGCAAACCGTAAATAGATTATGAAAATCATTAAGGTTATTTAATGTTAAATTGAGAAATTGGCATGGCTGAAAGCATGTTTAGTTTGTAATAAGAAAATATTCTGTCATTTGTCTTCTGCGCAGAATTTTTTAGTTATAACTAGAATTTAAGCAGGACTTGTCTTGCTTGTGTTTGAATCTGGCAAGAGAGGTTTGTTATGATCAGTAAATGGGAGGTGTTGATTCTGAAATAATTCCTGCATTTATAATGCAGAAAAAAAGACCATACCAATCTCTGTACTAGCCTACCACATTTTTACCCCTGTTGCATATTTGTGAACAAATTCCTACTTGTAAGATTTGAGGCTTTCATGGCGGTGACTATGAAGAAAGCAGTTTTCTGGGATTTGGCGCCGTGTATATGTGGTGTTAACCGACGTTTCGGAGGAACGTATCGCCTCCATCTTCAGGGTAGAAGAAAAAATATAAGAAATCTGCAAGCGAAGAGACCATGAGAACCGGTAAAAGCAGACTGTGTTGGAAATATACACAGCTATGTGAGAGCAGAGAAGGAAGGGGGGAAGGGCAAGTATACAAGTGAAAGCAGTAGTGTGGGAGGGGGGGGGGAAGGGAGCTGGGACAAGCATTCTACCCTGAAGATGGAGGTGATACGTTCCTCCGAAATGTCGGTTAACACCACATATACATGGTGCCAAATCCCAGAAAACTGCTTTCTTCAAATTCCTACTTATTTCAGTCATAAGACTGGAAAGGGGGACTAGTATGTGTACTCATGCATGTGCGCACAGTCACACAAACACACATACCTATGAGTATTGTGTGTGGTATATATAATATATAGTGTTCAGTAAGTAATGTCCAAGGGAATGTTACACTCAGTATAAATATCTAACAGAACAAGTAATAAAGGACAAACATTCTGTTCCTCTGCATAATTTCCAGAGCAATTCAGGAATTTGTGCCACTGATACAGACCCTGTTCCATTTCATCAGAAACGAAATTAGGGCTGTATTTGCGACAAACAGAGCAGGTCAGCTTCCACCTTATCATGTCAGAAGTGTTATGCTCCAAAGTCCACAGGAACTGGAGTGAGAATAAGCTATATATCTTTATCATCCACCGCTCATCTTAGACATTGGACCTGTCTTTGGATTATTGACACACCACAAAGGGTGATGAATTGAAAGCTGAAGTGCACCATTGGGTGTAAACCTGGTATTCAACATGTGATGTGTTGCTGGGTCAGTCATCTGAACTGTTGATTATATGGGGAAATAGTCTGTGTGTTACACCTTGTTATAGACATCTATTACGTTGAAGCAATTATTGCACTTCCCTGTTGGAAAATGTTAGTCTTTGTGTTCTACTTGCAGTGTTAAGGACTTCTCAATGTTTGTACTCAAATAAACACTGTCCTTCTGCCCGGTGCGCCTATGCTGCCAACGCGATGGGTAAAGATCTCGACATACTTCCAATTGGAAAGGTTTCTCACATATTTTATAATCTTGTGCCTAAAATTGTTAATAATGTTCTTGTGATATGTAGTTGTTAGTCATAATGTTCTTATTTCTCTTCATCTTTGTTTTTGGTTGTTCACTACTTCTGTATTAATGTGTTTTCTTTCTCCAGTGCTTGCCTGTAATTGTCTTTTGGCTGTCGTCAAACACTGCAGTAAGTGGACATAATTATTATGATCATTACTTTATCACTTCTAAATTGTTACTCAAATTTTGTTGTTATTATTATTATTATTTTCATTTTAGCTTCTAAATGAAAAATCAAAGTTATTTTATAATCATCATTGTTTCCTTTCTTTCACTCCTCACTTTGTAGGCCCTTGGGCTGTTGAGTTGGCATGCAAATAAATAAGGATTTGATTTTATTATTATTATTATTATTATTATTATTAAAACACCTGTCATATTATTAATATATGTCCATAACCTGAAAGATATCTGAAAGTACATATCACATATCAGAAAGAATGCACATGAAGGAAAGGTTTGAAATGAGTTAGAGAATTGAAGAGACTACTAGCTGGCTTATTCTGCATACTAGACTTTCAGGTTATATGTCACTATTCAGCTTACTGAAATCAATATCCAGAGAACACAAACCATTACATCAAGACCATCATTCTCTTGCTGTCACTGCTGCAATCTAGAATTATTAGGTTGAGGTCTTGTATTCTCATATATTACATGGAATCATAATTACAAACTATAATATTTAAATTGTGAAGTACAATTCTGTATAGTAAGAATGGACACTATGAAAGGACTGTGATCACTGAGTATTGAGAACTGAAGCCGCAAAAATCTGCTGCAGAATCTGTGGGATGTTCTTTAAGTCAAGGCATACAAATGATCGCCCAGCTGGCAGCTTGCTTGTTAATCTGAAAACAAAAACAGAAATTCATAATGATATAATTAAAGAATGAATATCATTTGTTACTGGAATATTAAACTACATGTAGAGAAAGAGTGATACATCTTAGACAATGTAAGAGGTAAAATAAAAAAAGTCTGTACAGAGGAATTTCCTGATCAGATGATATTCTTTAGGAAAGAAAGAAGGAAAAGTGTTCTGTTCGAGTCTTCCCATAATAGACACGTTTTATGTATATTAATATGTTTGGCCTTGGAGAGATTTCTTGATACCTGCTTCTCCATCTGCACATAGATGTTAACAAGAATTGTAAGTTTGTAATTCTATGACATAATAATATGCTATGAAAAATTTCTCTGTTATATAGATTTCAGTACTTGATTTAAAAAGTCATACGCTGTCAACTTGTGTGTTATATTTAACATGCAAAAAAAGAGCTGTAACATTTGTTAAGTTGGTTTGTGGTCTTTATCCCTGTACTAAACATCAAATTTCAGCTATAAAGTTAGAATTATTGTTTTGAAATGGAGACATATCTTCAGATTGTGCATCACTGTCACATTATTTCACATTCTACAAGAAGGTACCTGGTTATACATTTCTCAAGATGTTATCATAAACCTTTCAAAATCTGATGTTAATCCTACTTGAAGTTTGTATGGCCATCATGCTGTTACTGTTGATAGCAGATGTTAAGTATGGATGTGGAATTGTCTCCACTGGTACAATGATCGCATACAATTTGATGAAAATAAGATATCTGATTCACAATTACTGATATGCGACACATACATACAGACATGCTTTTAACTTCACTTCTTTTGTACAACAAGATTGGAAAGATGTTATCCATATAAGATTGCATATAGACAGCATTTGGATTGGTAATCGGATGTCTCGGACTCTTTTTTATTTATTTACATTTATACATTCCGTTGATCCTTATGGTACAGCTGACCAGTGGATATGGATTTTGTCCCAAGCTAATAGATTAAAATATGCAAATACAAAAACTACATACATACTTTTGTCATTAAGACAGTTAAAAGATTTATATTAATGTACAATGCATAAAATGATCAAAATTATAAAACAATAATTGATACAAAATACTTAGGTAATGATATAAAATTATATCATATCAGGGGTACAATTACCAATTTTAATTACATACATGGTTAAAGTATTCCTCTAAGGAATAAAAAGAATTTGAAAGAAAAAATCTTTTTAGCCTCAGTTTAAATAGTTTCACATCATTACTCATACTCTTGATTCTGGATGGCAGGTGGTTATAAGCCTTAATACCAAAATAATATGGTCCTTTCTGAAAGATTGTTAGGCATGATGTGGGAAGGTGCAAATTTGTGGTATGTCTAGTATTAAGATTGTGGGTCTCATACTTTGAACTGTATAGGTCTCTATTATTTACAACAAACAGAATTATAGAGTATATATACTGTGAGTACATTGGTAATATTTTTAGGTTTTTGAATAGTTCCCTACATGAGTCTCTAGTTCTTACATTCATAATAGTTCTAATGATCCGCTTTTGCATTCTGAAAACATTTATACTAGTTGCTGAGCTACCCCAGAAAATTATCCCATATTCNGTTTTATTAAAATTTAAGGATAGCAGGTTAGCTTCAAACCATTTGTTTATGGCTAAGAATTGTTTATTCATATTAATTTCCAAATTATGAGGGCTCGAATCGGATATTATGATACTAGTATCGTCAGCGAATAAAATAATCTTCGCATTATTTGTTATTACTTTGGGTAAGTCATTAATATACAATAAGAAAAATAAAGGACCTAATATAGAGCCTTGTGGGACACCATATTTGATGATCTCCCAATCAGAAAAGGTGGTATTATAGGTTGTCCTATTATTTAATACTACCTTTTGGTATCTATTGTTCAAATAAGACTTGATTAATTTTTTAAATACTCCATTTATCCCATAGTATCCCAGTTTATTTAAAAATATTTCGTGGTTAACACAGTCAAATGCTTTCTTCAGGTCACAGAAAATGCCCCCAATAGTTAATTTATTGTTCATGGCTACTAAAATTTCATTTAATAATTTAAAAGAGGCCCTATTTGTTGTAGAGTTTTTTCTAAATCCATATTGATCACTAGCAAGTATCTTATTTTGTATTAGATGCTGGTTAAGCCTTAAATATATTACCTTTTCAAATACCTTAGAGAAAGCCGGTAACAAAGATATTGGTCTATAGTTAGAGATGTTAAGTTTATCCCCACTTTTAAATACTGGTTTTACTATTGAAAATTTCAGTCTAGTTGGGTAAATTCCTGAAGAAAGAGATTTATTTACAATATATGTTAGCGGAGAACTAATAAATAGGGCACTAGCTTTCAATATTGCGACAGGTATCTCATCATAACCATGGGAGTATTTGGCTTTTAAGGATTTGATGATTCCTTCTATCTCATGGGTAGAGGCATGCTTAGGTCGAATATTTGACAGCGGACTCGTGAACAACTCGTCACTAAATTTTACAAATCACAAATATTTACACAGTGTGTCCAAGTTCTGTTAGGACTGTTCATTAAAAATACGAGACGTGAATTATTTTCAAAATGTCACTGTTTTTATTCAAAATAGTCTCCTGAATCAATACATAGCTGGAATCGATTGAAAAGTTTTAAAAAACAGTCACTGTACTCCTTTTGTGGAATTGCATTTAAAACTGTGGTAGATTCCCTTTGGATGTCCTGGATGGTGTCGTGATGGTCTCCTTGCATTGCCAACTTAACTTTGGGAACAACCAGAAATCTGCTGGAGCCAAATCTGGCAAATACAGAGGATGATCAAGGACTGTGATCCCTTTTCTGGCCGAAAAATTGCGCATGATCTTCAATTTGTGGGGTGGGGCATTGTCGTGGAGGAGCGACCAGGAACCTTGCTCTCGATATTCAGGTTGAATTTGAAGAATTCTCGGTCACAAACGATTGAGGACTCTGAGATAATAATCAGAATTCACTGTTTGACATTCTGGCAGAAATTCCTTGTGAATGATTCCTTTGGAATCAAGAAAATGTTTAGCAGTGTCTTTACTCGACTCTTTTGCATGCGCACTTTCTTTGGTTTCGGCTTCTTTGGGCTCAACCATGCTGCACTCTGCTGCATTGTGAGAAGCTCATATTGAGAACACAATGTCTCGTCAACAGTAAGAATTGATTTTGTAAATTTTGTATCACTTTGGGCCGACCGTAACATGTCTTTGCAGTGTTCCACTCCAGCATGTTTTTCTTCACCTGACAGCGGGTGCGGTACAAACTGTGCACAGACCTTATGTTTACCCAAATCCTCGGTCAAAATTTGATGCGTAGTACCTTTTGGTATTCCCAAAAGCTCCTTGATGAGTCTTGCAGAAACACATCTGTCTGATGCAAGGATTTCGGTCATGTTTCTCACATTTTCTTCAGTGCGACTTGTTCTTGGTTTTGATGCATGTGGAGCGTCTTCAATGTCCTCCCTGGTGTCACAAAATACAGCATACCATCGAAAAATGTTCAAGCGACTCAAACAATCACTACCGTACACACTTTTCATCATTTTGTGTGGTTCTCTGGCTGTTTTGCCTAACTTCAAACAAAATCTGATGTTGGCTGTCTGTTCAACCACCATTTTCCGATGATCATCAGCACTGGTCAGAACAGTATTGTTATATTCAAGGTCGGAACACATGAGGCAGTGATGTTTGCGCTTTGAAATTATAGACAGCCACAGCTGAAACTTCAAGAATCTTAATGCCACAACTCGCCAACAGATGGCATTGCAAGGCAAAATTTAAAAAAATAAGTCCTAACGGATCCTGGACACACCGTGTATGTGTTACTTTTTCATGGTGAACATGATGTTAATTTTTTGGTATTATATACATGTATAATTCACTAAAAGGTTTATTAAAAATTAAAAATATGTTCACTAAAATGCTGGATCCTTTTGAGCTGTGTGTACTGCATTCAGTGGCAATATGTGGGCATTACCTGTATAATGTACAGAATATACTGTTATGTTTTTTGTTCATTGTTTTATTGCACAGTATGTAGTTTCGATTTTATTGACAGAACAGTGAAACTCACTAATTTGAAATTTGGAGGTGGGGGGTGCACCTTCTGATCTTGATTATTACATTGACGCTACCTGCAGTGTTTTTAAGACTGATATCGAACTTCCATTTTTACATTTTGTGACAAGTACATTTATTTAATGATATGCAATCTACGTTTTTTTGCCTAAAAGACACATGAAGTCTATTTTATATCTTCAGTTGCACTTCTATAATTCTGACTTCCACTAATTTTGACAAGGGTGTACTCCCAATTAGTCTGAATTATTGAGGTCTTACTATACTTACACATTATGGTGGCCTACATGTGTAGACACTGATGTACTGTTAATGTATGAGTGTTATCCGCAATATATAAGAAATATATTATTATATACTCTATTGTACACTGTATGTTTATTGCTTGCATTATGTGATACTGATTTTTTGTGGTTGTACTTACATATGTTACAGTGGCTTGTGTGTAGGGATTATGAATATTCTGTGTGGCTGTGTCCGCCTTTTCTGGGAGGAATGAGGGTGTGTACTGTTATCTGGTGTAGAGTTCATTCAAGGTCTGAAATATTGGATTGTGTCAACGTGTGTGTCATTCCTATGTAGTTTGTATTTGCTAATTTTGTAAATATGGTATTTCTCTAGACTACTGAAGTGTTTTTCTTTCTACTGGCACTGAATGTAATATGTGCAGCTCAAAAGGACCAGACATTTTAGTGAACATATTCCTAATAAATTTAGTGAACCTTTTAGTGAATTATATATATTGTAACGTGTTTTGTTACTGAAGACGCCGTTCGGATCGTTAATTGGTTTATTCAACAACCTACAAATAACGGCTACAATTAATTATCACACAGTTGCGGGGTATCACACTTTATAACCCTATGCGCAAATCAGTTCACTCTGCCTTCAGTAGTCTACACGTTTACAGTAGGGGAGCTTTGTATCACTGTATCACACACTCCCAATTACACAATTACACACACATACGGTTCTTCTTTCCGTGATGGCTGCTATACTCCAACTGTAGGCTGCTGACTGGAGAATTGTCTTCGGCGCTGATACACTTCAACTCTCTCCGGGGATGGCTAGAAGTTAGCTTGACCACAACTGAACTCAGCGACGGCCACATTACAACTAACTCGCAGGCAGCGCAGCTCTCTTATATAGTGGCTGTGTGTGCCTGTTACGTAGCAACGCTGTTACCTCACGCTGTCTTACGTCACCGTGCGGAGGGGGGGAGGGGAGCGCTGACTCATCCGCCACGTCACTGTGGCCTGAGTTGCCATCTTGCTGCTGGGTAGGGAGGGGTTCTCCGTTGTGCAACATGTCACAATATATATATATATATATAATATTTAAAAATGAACATGTTTACATGTGAAAAGATAACATATACAGTGAAACAGTTTTGGCAGAATTGATATGTACCTGATGATGGCTGTATATGGCCAAAACATGTTACAAAGAGATTTATATGAGACAAGAATAAATGTATTTGAGACTGTAATACATATTGCCACATGTTAGTGACTGACATGGGATTTGGATTTGTAATTGGATTTAATGAACTCTTTAACTACAGGTAACTACAACAATTTCACAGATCTACACACTCTACAAATCACTGTTTCAAATATTAAGGCTTCTGTCTTCTTCAAGCGTTGCTAGGTAACATCTTCCAACAGTGGGTATTCCTCCACTTATATGCTCATGTCATTGCTGGCTTTATACCATCTCACAACTAACTCATGACCTAAGCATGACTGATTCACAACTAACTTCAGTGACTGTTAAGTTTCTGCTTGCTCCTTGACTGAATGGCTGTTAAATTGCTGCTGGCCCTCACCAACACAGTGATTCTTTGTTCTCGGTCCCATGGACTCATGGCCATATTTTATTGTCTGACAACTCTAGGAGCCTAACACCCCTATTCTCTGGCCCCTTGCCTCATTTGCCTTCACTCTATAGCCTTGGCATGGAATGCATAGAAAACATTGCATCAAACAGTTCTTCTATTGTTGTGTGTTGATAAGGCTCCATGTATAGATTATCGTCTCTTCTGGCTTTCATGTCACAATATGTACAAAACTAACAATATTAATGTGATAGGATGTTTAAGTACAACATTGTGTACCTTTAGTACCCATGGAAAGCAATCTGTCAATGGTCAAACAATTATTAACTGTTCAGAGAAGGCTCTATGTGAGGGAGGAAGAAATGAATGTCATTAGTTATGAACACTTACAAATGAAATGAGAGTGGAATAATGCCCACACTCAAATGGTGTGTTGAAATGATGTTGAAACCCTTTTCATGAAGACTTGTGAAATATTTAAAATCTTATATAATAAAAGTGAAAGATAACCATGAAAATGAAAGCTATTACCTTGATGCCTGATCTCCTAATGAGCCAATAAAGATGGCATATGCATTGACTCTTGGATTTGAATTCATTGCTCTTGCAAACATCTCTGGAGGAATGCCATAACGCTCCAGATTTGCATCAGACAGTATAACCACAATTGCTTCGTCACAGTCCTCTTGGCTTAGAGAGGCTATTGCAGACTGTGTGGCTTCTAGGGTGTTGTCACCTGACACGCAGAATTGTGAATGGGCATGCATTGTCTGGAATGAAAAGTAGACTTTTAATGCTGCCTGAAATCCATATGAATTCCAGCCTTAAAACAAGAAAACTACCAAAGAGATATAGCTTGATTCACAATAATGAGGTGGTTCATAATCTGTACTCAACCAAATACTAACATGATCAGACCAAGGAGGAAGAATTTTGTAGGACAGGTACCATGCATGGGAGCTGAGAAGTATACACAGAAGTTTAGTCAGGAAATAGACCTCTGTAGGTTGTGGTGCAAGGGCTGAGAAGGCCCACCACTTATATATTCATTCATTATTTAGTCAGGAAACCTGAAGGGAAGAAACCATCCATGACAGAAGGCATAAACAGGGGAATAAAATGAAAATGAACCTTAAAGAAAACAGGTGTGGATTGGATTTAACTGGTTCAGGATGGGTCCAGTTGTGAGCTGTTTGAAAATTGTTATGAATCCTCAGGCTCCATAAAATTTTGAACATTTTGTTGATCAGCTGAGCAATTATGAGCTTCCCAAGAAGGGCTCTGCATGGAGTTAGCACCCAAGAACAGATTCAGGCCTACATATTTCGCATAGCCTAAGTTTGTGCCTGGGTTGACATACATGAAGCAATGGATTGGCTGACACACCTTGATGATGTCTAATCGTTGTTTGTTGTCAGCAGGTGGATTTTTGTGGTCTATGAATGTTATGTTGTGGCTCTCGCCTGAATGTCCAACTATATCATATTGGATTCTGCCTTCATGGCCTTGGAATGCTTCCATTACCAACACCACTGCTTCCATCTCACGATCAAGCCTACCATCATAATTGTTGAACCTACAATGCATAAATTTATGATTTAAATGATTTGTTAATATCAGTTAATACTATAGGGATAAATTGCGTCTGATGACAGTCTGGTCTTCCAAAAAGGATGATGTGAATCATGGACATATGGCATGCACTGACAATCAAATATGGGATAAATAAGAACTGTTACAGTTAACCAAGGATAAAATAATCTAGTATAGCTAATCAGTAATGCCATACACTAAAAATACTCCAAAGAAAAAATGTAAAAATGAATGGAAAATATATGTTGTATAGAATATGTGTAAAAAGATTGATGCAATCAGTTGGTTTGTTATATAGGAAAATATTTCCATTTGAATGTTATAAGTAAGCATTTTATTCATAATTCAGTCACTTCTTTTTATCCGAAATGGTGTTGAATATGGCCTCCATTTTCTTGGATTATGGCTTGAACCCATTCTTTTCATTGATTGAAACTGACTGAATATTATCTTAAATACAAGAGGCCATGCATTTTCATTTCTGTGCTGCAGTAATTCCAGGGACTAAAACAGTTCCCCCTGGTTATTGTGCACTAACTATTTATGTTCATTCCAGACAGTGTAGTTTGATAGATTTAAATCTTGAGAATTTGGTGGTGAATCCCTAGACTTGACAGATTCATTTGTAGTACAATCTAACACTCTGAAAGAGCAGGTAACATGGATGGAAATGTCTATTTTTAACATTCAGAATGAAAGATAGATTTCTGTGAAATGAATTAACTAAACTGAATACATATTTTTGTATATACATTTAGGTATGTTCTACACAATGTACATAAGTTCCATTCAAGTCTCCAATGAATTGTTGACTATTATAACTTTTAAAAAGTAATTTTTTGTACAGTTATCTGTAAAATTTAAGTCTCTCTTTGATCCTCAACACAACTATCTCCCTTGGTGTAAAATAGTTTTATTAAAACTACTTCCACAACACCTTAGGGCCAGTACTGGTCTTCTTCAAGCCAGTCTGATCACACCATTACCACATAGAACATCAATCAGAAAATACGGCACAATACACAACATAACTTCTAGTTTATTCTTTTATAATCATGCAGACAAAAAATGTCACTTCACAGAATTTTTCTGTACATACCACCTATTTCTGACATTTTCTACAGTTAACAATATGAAATCATATACTAACCTATACATACTGCCAGAAACATCTATCACGAGTTTAAGTCGTTTTTGTTTTGTTTGTGGTGTTCCCATTTCTGGCTCTTTCTCTGCTCGCCTCCGGTATATGGTCTTCTCTCCAGTTAAACCTGCAATGCACTGGGTGAGTACTTTGTACATACATAATAGTTCAAATCCAGATCATCTTGGTAAGGTCACTGAAGCCAGAGTCAACAAAATGTTTTAGGTAACTTGTTCTGAGGAGGGATGGTTCGCTTGCGGACTGAAATCACGGAGTTTGTTCTCAGGAGGGTCATAGTGACAGGTAGCAAGTTTGAAAACAAGCAATGTCAAAGACAGCTTATAGCTCATAAGATGTTGTACATTGAAGTTGTATGTGTAGAATTGATATGCAATGGAAATTTCAAACAAAACACACTAGTAGTGTAATCAGTCATTCCAGTTCAAATTTTGCATGAAGCTTTCGGACTGGCTGGGTTATGAGCATCAGCTGCAATGAAGCAGCTGTATATATGGAAGCTGGGAAAAATGCAAGCAGAATGCAATACTGATCACAGACTGGTACAGTTACAGCCACAGCGGACCCCGAGGCAGAAAATTTAGTTAAAGGGGATGGGAGGGGGCTAGGCTCACTTGGAACATGAGGTACTGAGAGAGAGAGAGAGAGAGGTGGTTGATTGTCTAAGAGGCCAAGACAGACACGGAACATAGGAAAGCACTAGTTTGGTTGTGGAAAGGGAAGGGGAGAGCACAAAATTGTGTTAAGATTAGGCATAAAATTCTAGACAGAAATTACAACTAGAATATGTTAGAAGATGTTGCATGGAAGGTATGAGAGAAAACAGTTTTTTCTTCTGTTAATAGTGTGGGAATTTAATAGTACTTAGGTTTGAAAATTGATAGACACATAGGTATAACAAGGGCATTCTAGAATCTTTGGACAAGGACCTTCTGGCATATATCCAGAGTAAAGAAGAGCAATCCTTAGATGGTAAGTGTATTAGCTGAGAAGCATAAGAAAGCACATAATGTGATAATATTACAAGAAGAAAGAATGAGGAAGCTATGATGATAGGAAAGCTACTCTTGTACAGTACCAACCAGGACAACCAGTGTATTAGAAACAGATTTTCTTTTATTTTATTTCTTGCAAATTTACAATCTACTCCACAGTAACAATATGAGTATTAAGTAAATGGTTTAAAATTTGAAGGCTTGTGATGGGTACCATTAATTAATGGTTCTCCATGTGGTTACACATCATCGAGAAGGTCTTCTGGCCAGATTTTCTTCAGTCTTCTTTTTTCCAAGGGTTTGGTGAATAGGTCACTTATGAATTGGTTTACATGCTCTGTTGTTTGGTCTTTGTATTTGTTTATGGTTGACAATTACATCTTGTATTANCAAAACGAAGACAGCACACACACACATACCCAGCAGGTCCAGCAGTATAACACACGCAGTCACAGGAGCGAGACGCAACACAGAGCACAGTGAGTATTAAACATTAAAATCATAATACCACAAGTAATAGATAGGATGCGGAACGCGGTATTAATGAATAACAAATTCATGTTACAGATACACGATAGTGAAAGAGTGCTCCAACAGAGGATGATAGACGTGACTCGCGTAATGAAACACGACGTAGGAAAGAAATATGCTGTACAGTTTTAGTATTTTAACACTTGACATTTGTCAGTATATATGATAAATATATATTTTAGTTATTTTAGTATGTAAAGACAAGGCATGCAATGAATTAGTTTGTCGTGGATTGGATCAGCACCTGAAGATGGCACATTTGTGCCGAAACATGTAGTGAGAGTGAAAAGAGGGGACAAATAAATGTATGCACTAGAAGACGGATAAAATAAATCATGGACTTGTATGAATGGAATTTTGAAGTCCTCATATAAAGTTTGGTTAGACATACCATGGTGCTCCTGATATCATATGGAGTGTTTTGGATTGTAATGACTGAAGAATTTTGGTATTTGATGGTTTACTACAACCCCATAGTTCTATAGCATATGTCCAAATTGGTTTAAGTATGTACAGGATGGGGCACAGAAACTTCCTTTTTGTGAAGATGCATTGTGAAGGGAGGGGAAGTCGCAGAAAAGTAGGGATAGGCTCGGCGAACGCAGCAGTCACGGAAGTTTCTGTCTAATAACCCTCAGTAGGAAACATGAGATGGACGAGTGAGAGCAGTGTGCGTTTGCTGTCGAAGTCTATTTTTCGAACAACCATTCCTATGTGGCGGTGCAGTGTGCATTCCGTATTCACTTCGGAATTAAGCCCAGAGGTCCGGTTCCTGACCGGAAATCCATTGTTTTGTGGGTAGAGAACTTTAGGACAACTGGGAGTGTGGTGAAAAAATCATCAGGATGACAACGGACCGTTATGACGCTAGAAAATGTGGAGGCAATTTGACAGTCGAGTTTGAGATCTCCAAGACGCTCCGTTCGCAAACACGCAGTCGCCCTAGACATATCCAATCATTCAATGCGCCAAATTCTTCACAAACATCTTCATTTCAATCCCTAGAAGGTGGCTGTTGAGCAAGAATTGTCACCACATGATTTCCAGAACCGAATAACGGCATGTGAAACGTTATTGGAAACTTCACCCGCTGACGCACTTGTTTTCTTTAGTGATGAAGCACATTTTCACCTATCCAGATATGTCAGCAAGCAGAATATGTGCTATTGGAGTGGTAACAATCCCAGAGAGCTCCATGAGAGGCCACTTCACAGTGATAAGGTGACAGTATGGTGTGCATTGTCAAGAGTTGGAGTTATTGGCCCTTATTTTTTTGAAGAAGACAATCATGCAGTTACTGTCAATTGACAGCGGTATGTGGACATGATTAAAAACTTTTTCGAACCATCTCTTGAAGAAATGCATCTAGGAAACGTCTGGTTCCAACAGGATGGTGCCACGGCCCACACAGCCCGAGCTTCAATGACACTTTTGAGGGCAAAGTTCCCCGGACAGCTCATCTCGCTTCAAGGCGACATCCTGTGGGCAGCACACTCACCTGATCTAATGCCCTGTGATTTTTTTATGGAGATACCTCAAGGCAGAGGTTTTTAAACATTGCCCCACAAACCTGCTTCAGCTGAAGAATGTTATTCGGCAGGAAGTAGCCCAAATTCCGGTGCACATATAGGAACGTGCAGAGGGGAACTTCAGAATACGGTTGCATCAGTGCATAGAGAACGGTGGCCACCACCTTCAAGATATTTTGTTTAAACCTGCATGATTTAAAACTTTAAACTATGTTCTTTCATTAGCTAAACATAAATTTTGTCTATCAGCAATAATTTTTCTTTTATTTGCCTTCAAAAAAAGGAAGTTTCTGCGCCCCACTCTGTATTTGTAAATGATTAATTTATTTTCCAGAGATAGTTGGGACTTACAGTTGAGTAGCCAGTACATAAATTTGATTTTTAGATCAAGTTGGTGTCTCTTAGCTTTTATATGCGTTTTCCAGGTCAGCTTCTCATCTAGGTAGAGTCCACGGTATTTGACCTCTGTTTTTACTGGTATAGGGTTGTTTATGTTAACCTGAGGGCATCTGCTTTTTTTTTTTTTGTAGTAAATGTTATTTGGACTGATTTGTTGGTATTAACACATATCTTTCATTGTTGTAACCATATACTTGTATAAAGAGTATCGAGATGATACTGCAGCTTTTCAGACGCTCTTCTAGGATGTAGATCTGATGTTAGTATAGCAGTATCGTCTGCAAATGTGGCAATTAAGGTATCGTTAGTTTTGGGGAGGTCAGCAGTGAATATTAAATAGAGGAATGGTCCAAGTACGCTACCTTGGGGAACTCCTGATTTTATAGGTTTATAATTGGAAAGGTCATCGTCAAATTTCACTTGAAGGTATCGATCGTGTAAATAAGATTTCAAAATAATGCAACATCTTTCAGGTAAGTATGTTTTTAATTTGTATAGGAGTCCTGCATGCCAGACCTTGTCAAAAGCTTGTTGTATGTCTCGAAATACTGAAGCACAGTACTCTCTTGCTTCAAAACTGGTTTTAATTTCATTGATAATTCGATGGCATTTCTAGATTGTTGAGTGTTTTCTTTGGAACCCAAATTGATGGTAAGGTATTAATTCATTTAGTGGCACTGCTTCTTCAATTCTCTTACGAAGGAGCCTTTCGAAGATTTTGGACGTTATTGGTAATAGACTTATCGGTCTATAAGAGTTTGTTTCAGTTGGGGGCTTTCCAGGTTTGGCTACCATTATGACTTGTGCTAGTTTCCACTGAATAGGATAATATCCAAGTCTTAACATACTATTCTATACAGTGGTCAATAAGACTACTGTTTTTCGTGGTAGATTCTTCAGCATGTCTCCGACTATCAAATCATGTCCAGGTGCCTTGCGAGGATTTAATAGTTTCATTTCTTGAAGTACTTCTGTCGGGTGAGAAGGCTTTGATTGGAAGTGATAACTGGCGGGGAGCATGTAGGAAGTCTTCCATGTCAGCATCAGTGTTACTTTGCTCTTTAGGGGAACTGAAAACATTTACTAAGTGTTCAGCGAAAGCTGCCAATTTTTCAGTGGAAACAATATAACACCATGTAGTCCTGTCAAAGATAACCGACATTTTGGGGGAACATGTGGCTTCCAAAAAGTTACTTTCACAGGACTACATGGTGTTATATTCTGTTTCCAATATACTGGTTGTCAATTGAAACATCAGTTGTTTTTCACTGGACTATATGGTGATGTATCTTTATAGCCACCACTGTGGAAACCTCAAATCCAGCATATGATTAAGAGACAGGATTTTGACAAGAAATTGACAGGGCCTTACTCAGCATTAAAGAAATTCAAGTTGTTATATGAAATTCAGACACCACGTGATAATGAAATTAAACGTAAGACAGTCAAAATTACGCAGGTAAACTGAAGAGCGAGTACAAAAACAGAGGGAGGGTTAGAAGCAATATTCTCCGTGTAAACCTCCATCATTAGATATTTCAGACAGCAAAAAAAGCCTATCAGAGGAGCAGGGATGAATCAGCTGAAAGAGCAGCACACCCAACATGGGAAGACTTGAACCAGCAGGTATGAAATCAGAACCATGTGGACAATGTAAGATGGTGGCATAAGTACAGCAAAAGATATTTGTTACAGCTCATAAGAGGTGTAAATTATGTTTAATCAGAATTAGATAGGTTACCACAAGATATTGCTGAGGAAGGAGATGTACATAATACAAGTGACTGGGTATGACATGATGACAGAGACTTGATGCTGGTGTGAGACAGTGATTGCAGACGAGCATTCTGTCAGAGTTTCCAATTATGCAAATCATACCACATT